TACTATTTTTCTAATTTTTTTTGCTATTGTAAAGCAGATATTAAACATATGATGTCAAATGTTAAAAAAACATCAAAAAATAAATTCACCATGACAAAAAGTATAGTAACTTCCACATTTTGTCATTATCAATTCTAAGAGAATTGATGTGTTTGGGTTGTAATTGTATGTAATAGAGTTCAAGCAATATGTCTGTGAAATATCATTGAAGTTTTAAGTGTCTTTATAGTTCKTAGTAACTATTTTAAACAAGTGAAGTTGTAATGAAGTAYTGTTCCCTTTGTTTGTGCCTTTATCTTGCTCTGTTCTTGTTGAATGCTAGTCTCTAAATAGTTCCTATCTAWGAACAATTATTCAGCAAGTAGTTAGATTTTATTTCACAGACATATTGTGTGCACTCTATATAAAGTATGAGCAAGAGACATTTATGGACATATTAAAGCCCATAAAGTTTGGACAAAAATATGTTTTATTGCTTATGAAATTCAAACATAAGCTAAGGACAACTTCAAGATTTCAAAGAAAATTTTAATTAAAAGTCATATGCAAACCTCATGCTCTTGCTTATATATGATAAATATTGTTGTATACATTTATTTTCAACAGACAAAGAGGGTCTGTAAATGTAGACCAGACAGATGAGATAGACGAGTTAGATGATGATGATGATGAACCAATTGAAGATTTTGTCAAACTTAGGAAGCCAGGAGGGAAGCCAGGAGGGAAGCCAGGAAGAAAAAAGACCTTATGGTCAAATGAGACCTTGGATGACCTAATTGACATTATAATCAACAACGAGGTTTATAAGAGGAAGCTTATTTTTATCAACACCAAAAACCAAAAAAACACAGATGTATATGAAGGAATCAAGAAGGAATTGCAAAAAAGGGCTACACAAAGAGGAGAAGAGATGTCATTCAGTGCGAATCAACTAAGAAATAAGTTCAAGAAGTGTGTAGCTGAATGTAAAAAAGCTGCTCTGACCATCAAGACAGCAACTGGAATTAAACGATTTTGTGAAAGCAAGGGCTTTGGTAAGTGGTTTGCTCAGTTATACCCAATAGTGAAGRCAAGAGATTCCTGCCAGCCAGACATGGCAACTGAGCCATCCGAAAAGAATGAGTAGTGAATAGTCAAGAAGGTTCATTTGTACCAGTAAAGCAAGGTAAAAAGAGGAAAAGTGACACAACACAAGAAGTTTTGGATGTGGTAAAGAAAGCCTTATCACAGGACCCAACTGCTGAACTGTTGCAGTTTTTGAAAGAGGAAATGGATGCCCAAAGAAGACATGAGGCGCAACTTTTCAGCATGCTCACACAAGGTTTTTTGATGCATACACTTCAGTATCCACACAACATGCCGTCCCAATATGCCAGTGTGCCATTTCCAACCTTTTCACCAAGTCCACAGCAGGCTAGTGGTCCGAATATCTTTAACCAAGGACCTTCCACTTCAGGTTTATAGATTGACCTAAATCACAAGTCCATGACTTTTATAGAGTATAGTTTGAAGGCCTCATTAAGTAATTTGATGATTAAATTTTGGCTATAATTTTGGCTAGAGTGAAATATGATTGTACTACTTATTGTTTCACTACACATACAATGTTTGTTTTATTGTTCACCAAATGTGATTTTAAATAAAATAGCTCTGTTGTTAAGGCTATATATATGGGTAAAATATGGGAAGACTAAGTATGKTTTCTTTACATTTTGCTGTCTTAAACTGAAAAAAATGATAATGTCCAAGTTTCCTTTTTGCAAATCAACACACTTTTCTGGTAACTTTTTCTTGCCAAAGCTTTTGGCACAAGGCATCTCTCACTTTCTTTGCCTCTGCTGTCGAATCATGATTTCTCTGACAATTCCTCATTTTCAGGAGTTTCCTGACCTCTTCTCGGTTTCTTCTTCCTTGTGTTTTAGGATCAACTGTTAAGTTCAATGATCTTGATAGTGTGCCCCCCCCTCTCAATGCAAACATTATGCAGGACAATGCATGCCAGGGYACACATTACAACTTGTTCTCTACTGCTTTCACATTTTCTCAACAGCACTCTCCATCTCCCTTTCAACTGGCCATACGCCCTTTCTGTTACCATTCGTGCTCTGCTCAGCCTTAACAATAATTGCAAATCAAATGTTATTGCCATAATTTTATAATGATCATATCACATTGGAGTGTTAAAGATTCTATTTTACCTATAATTGAAATATCTTTGCTGAGGTGTCAGTAGTGCATGTGTGTATGGTTTCATTAACCATGTACATAGTGGGAATGCAGAATCTCCAAYAATCAGTGGTGGTACCATTTGATCATGCACATCTTTTGCAATATCAGGAATTCTGTTGCCAGATTGMATACTTTGCCACAGATCTGTGGATCTGAATATTACTGCATCATGTGAATTTCCTGGGAATCCACAGCTTGYCCATGT